TCGCGTAATACATGTGCGAAATGTCGCAGCATTGCGGGATACATACGAAATTCTTGATAGCACATCTGGCCATTCTCTCTCATTGCCTGCAGCATGGACATATGACCATTTCTTGCGAATGGGAATCATTGGATACGACGCTACTGTCTCCGATAGTATTGATGTGCTCGCTCTTAGTGATTATGTAATACGTAACCCATGCCGTTGCATTAGCTGCCAAATGGTTCAGGAAATTTCCTTCATCCATGTCATCATCCTCGTTGGATCCCGACAGCAGAACGTAGTGAAGTTAAGACTATATGTATTGCCAAACATTTGGACTTCCCAAAAAATGACAACCTTTGTGTGTTAAAAACTTGCAAATAATTCGAAGATGTCACAACCTCACAACTCCTCACATTTTTCCACTCTGTCTTTCCCCATACGAATTTATAGAGCTTGTGCATGAATGAGTACCACATCACATGCACTTATTCCCTGGTGCCTCCAAGTTATGAAAACTGTGGCACTACAGTGTTCACCCACTCCCATTTTGTCTCGTGAAGAGTGTGCCTAGGGGCATAGGATTTTGACCTAGAAGAAACCTTCATTTTTTTAGAAGTGACGTGACAACTTGAGGAAGTTTAAAAAAACTCTTAATGTGACAAACATGTCCTCCCCTTCGTTCGGGCCTACATTTGTCTATAAAAGAATGTGAAAATTTTTTATGATATACAAACAATAATTGAGTGCAATACTTGAAAATTGTTTCAACAGCACCCAAAAATTTAACACACATAACTTACGATGCTTGAACAATAGTGCATTAAAAAAGATAGTTTTCACACTGATTGCTCGCGAACATCAAAGATATAACAACCGGCATAATTACTTTCCTCGATCATTAAACATCCACTTGGTCCACTCAAATTTCTTATTCGCGTCCTTCATGACGGTGAGCATGTCTTGGTAATGCTTCTGTGCAAGAAGTGCGTATACAAAAAATTACAGAGGTTTCCGTCGCTCGAGCCGTCTTATCGCCAACAACTCCTCAATGCAGGCTGTACCAGCACTTTCATCCGAAGCCATCATTGTGTTAATATTCGCCACCATTTCCTCCGCGGCACTCATGGCACGGTCAACTGAGAAAGATAGTTCACGACCATAGATTTTTTTTCTTTCGGCCCCGTCGCTTTCAGTTAGAAGATTTTCGTTTACCGACCCTTGTGGTGGTGGAAACGTTCACGCCAACCTCGCCATGTGTTTGTTCGGCCTCATCGCTTGAACCACTGCTCTCGACGTCGACCGGGATAGCATCCCTATTGTCTTCAAGCGCACTGTCCTCGAACAGGCTGAATCCCGTTCTGCACAACTTAGTGAGAGTGACAACGTACTTGTCTTCGTCGTAGCTGTCGTCGAATAGCTGATGATAGTGAATGTAGATCTTGCTGACGTCCTTGAAGTTTTTGTAGTCCTTGTTCTCTTGCACAGCACGGGTTGAGGATTGAGAGTATCAGTATGCAATGGAATTTGGAATGCGTCAATAAAGATAAAACACGAGACTTGAGAATGTGCAAAAAAAAAAAAAAAAAGAGCAAAACACTCGGTGCCACACTTGTGCTTCGATAGAAGAAGAAAACAAGTTTACCACTTTGCAAACAAGTTTGAGGAATTTTTTTTTAATATTTTTGAAAATCAGTATATAGGTAGATACCTAATTTCATATTCTGGGCAAAAAATAACGAACACTATTCACTTTTTGTTTAAACGTTTGCAGTATTGCATTAATCGTCTTCCCTAAGAAATCAAACATGGAGACAAAAATCACAGTGTAGGCCATTTCACAAAAAAATAACAACACTTAGAAGTGATAAACATAACACGCTGAAGTACCGAGATGGAAATAGTGTTCGAGTGTCGACTTTGAAAATCAACTAAAACCCATTTTTTGCAGTTCTTATACATAATTTGAAATGTCCCTTTGCCCAAACCAAAGATCGGCAGTCGTAATTTTTTTGACAAATTGTACTTCGGCCGGACTTTTGACCCAGCCTTGCCTGAATTTCTAGTGTAGTGCAACGAAGAAGATACTGATCATTGATTAAGGATATGTTGATTCATGTGAATACCGATTTAAATCGATAATAGAAACTAAAAAAAGTAATCCATAACAATCAAATTATTCAATTTGATCACGTCTTCCGAGTGTCACATTCCAACGCATTATTTAAAGCATACAAGTGAAAAATGTATGAAGTCCATTGTTCAGGAAGAAAAGCCGACTAATTAAGGGAAAGCAATTACCAACATACATCCATTTTTTAGGGAATTCCATTTGGCAAAAGATTTCATGCAACATCCATACACATTAATAAGTAATTATTCATTTCAGTAGTTCATTGCTCAATTGATTTTGGTTGATTTTAGGTGTTACCACTTAACAAAGAAAAACGTTCCATTTTGTTGTTCACATCAGTTTTACATAAATTAGAAATGGGAAACAATGATCATTCGTCATGAATTGGAGGCTGGGCCCAAAACGTGAAGTTGAGATTGTTACCTTAAGCTTCTGGTTCCACCATTTGTCCGATGCAACGATTCAGCCGGTGGCTTCGTTGTACTCCACCCCGCTTCGACGCATTACGTCCCAATGGTTGTGCAGTAGCTGCTTGCTCTAGTTGTGGTCGGTGACAAAGTTGAAGAGCGCGGACACTCGTTCCCAGTCGCGTTTGGTGAAACACCGACAGTTCGGATATCCCTCGACAATGGCAATTTTGCAGGTCGCAATGAAGGCTCAAGTTGCGTTCGGGTTCCACCGCGCATAAGATTTCCAGCCCAATACCCGTGTTGTCTCAGTTGTAGCGATCGAGGCGCTTCATTGATCGGCTCGTGACTGTGAAGTAGAAGAGTTCCTTAGCATTGAGGGAAAGCCGATTGGGGATGTGGGAGACAAGGTGGAGGAAGTTGGAATACCTGTATTTCGACTGGATCCATTTCGGTGGGCAGAGAAGCTGCGTGCCAGTGATTTTGTGCAGGCGAGAGATTCCGAAGAAGCGGTTGATGTCGAGCCCCTGTTCCCGCACTCTCCGTTGCCACGAATGTGACAATTGTTGAAATCGACGCCGGTGTTTGGAAGACTTCGTTGTCGTTTGGATCAGTTATGGTGATGTCGTCGATTTCAGCCAAAAGGAGAGAGAGTTAGTCTGTCAGTGAGAGGGGCAATTGGAGGAAAAATGAAAGTGTAGGCACTATACACCATCACATGTTGTGTAAGAGATGTGACTCCAAACGGTTGAAAAATGAATTAATGGGGAAAAAGAATGGCTACCAAACAGTCCCTAAATAATTTTTACGATTAAAATTAAGTTGTATTAATTGAAATTTTTTATATTTTATCAAACAAACATGTACTGGATTGATTAACCAATACAAAGAATTTTCGCCTAATCAAAATTTTAATTAATATCGTAAGTGAATCTATGAACCTGATCAATAACATGGGCTGCATGTCCCATTGATCGTCATAGTTTTGTCGCGTGATGATGACCATTAATGATGAAAAATAGCATCATAATTTCATTTTTTAATTGTAGTAGATGGTCTCCATCGATAATTGGAAGAATAGTCCATCGAGATTTTTGACAATTTGAAAATGAATTGTCATGTTTTAAAATTTTCAAATGACTCTATACTTGACTAAAGTGTAAAACGAGCTATGCACCATGTCAACTCTAACGAAATCATATGTCGTGCTAGCTAAACCTCTCGTATTATGATGAATTTTCTTGTACATTATTGATTCGAACTCCTCTGATCGAACAAACGCTTCCACGAACTCCTTTACACGAACTTTTGTACATTGATGTGACTGATACTTTCTAGATGGATAGTGCTCGATGTGTTGATGACATAAAGTTGCACGGTAAATTTGACTTTAAAGTCAACTATTGAATGCAATATGGCCAGGGTCCACATGGGCCTTGGCAATCCAGGGCCGCCACAACAGACCCCCACCAATAGGGGCGTCATCTACATAAAATTGATGTTTTTTGTGATAAAAAGTAGGCCCTCAATTAGTTAAATAATTTTTACGATTAAAATTAAGCTTTATTAATTGAAAATTATTATAATTTTATCAAATAAACATGTATTGGACTGATTAACCAATACAAAGAATTTTTGCCTAATCAAAATTTTAATTAATATCGTAAGTGAATCTTTTGATCCGACCAATAACACGAGTTCCATGTCCCATTAGACCTATTTTTTATCGTCATAGTTTTGTCACATGATGATGATCATTGATGATGAAAAATGGCATCGTAATTTCAAAGTGTAAAATGAGCTGTGCACTATGTCAACTCTAACAAAATCACATGTCGTGCTAGCTAAACACGATGAATTTTTTGTACATTATTGATTCGAACTCCTCCAATCGAACTAATGCTTCCACGAACTCATTTACACAAACTTTTGTACATTGATGTGAGTGACTGATACTTTCTAGATGGATAGTGCTCGATGTGTTGATGACATAAACTACTCGGAACAATTCCGTGCGTTCACTGAGCATTTTGTTTGTTTGTTTTGATTGAAATGAAATTCTATGACGTGTTCATCTGAAAACAAATTCTATAAAACTTGTTCGTACATGTAGCATGGTTCAACCACTCGAGTATAATTGAGATTGCTCGTTCCAAGTTCAAAACCATCCCCTCTTTTGACCCCTCTTGTGGGACCCATTTCACCAAATTTTTGTAACATAGTGGGTGTTTGAGACCCATTTTTATGTAAAAATACATTTTTGAATAGTAAATTGATGAGAAATATGTAGTTGAAAAATAAGAAATTTTTTTTTATTTATGTATAATATTATTTTAATAAAAAATATGTGATTGAAAAGAAGAAAGAAAAATACATTTTGAAAAAAAGGTATCAAGCGAGGCCATAATATTTAAATGAGTTCACGTCCATTTATGTAATTATACTCAGGATTCTGAAACCTTTAAGAAACAAGCCGTTAGTTGTACTCTCTCTCTCTCATCCGAACCAAACTTGAATTGTTCCCTGAAATCCCCCACGATTCTATCCTAATTTACAGCCGTTGCCACTCCCTCCCGATCTGCAAATCTATTCGAACTAGCCCTCACATTTCTGCTTCGTTTCCCCCTCTTTTCTCTCTCTACATTTACTCAAATATATACACATATGCGCGTAGTATTTATAGATTAATGTTTCTCCTATGGGTTTGACAACATTAACTGGTTGAAATATGCGGATTCTGTGGATATTTTATTAAAAAGGTGGAATGTGGAGTGTGGATTGCTTTTCAGCTGAGTTTCGTTTCTAATTATTAGTTTGAATCCTCGATCTTTGAAGTTAGTGATTTCAATTTGCTTGTCAAGAAATTGGGTTGGAGAAATGCAGGGTTTTATCGAGCTTGAATGGTTCAGAATGTTGATTGAGAGTTGAGGAGTGCTTTTTTAATATATTCACTGGGGGATGAATCGGAGTTTTTGGGCTTCGGAGAGGGAGCAAATGGGGAATCTGAGACAGAAGGACAGCAAGGATGAGGAGCTAGCATTGTTTCAAGAAATGTGCAAGCGCGAAAAGGAACGGAATAATCTTCTTCTTCTTCAAAACTCCAATGAATTTGATGCTCCACTTGGTATTAAAAAAGTTTGAATTTTGTGGAAAAGTTGTTCAATTATTTTATATTGTTGTTTTGGTGTTATGTGATGTAGGTCTCTATTAGTTATTAATTAATTGTATGATGAATCTACTTGGTGGATTTTGTTTCGAAATTGTGGAACTTTTTGTTTGGTGAATGTTACTGACTTTGGATAATTAGATTGTGAAATATTATTTGAAGTAAAAGATTGAAAGAAATGTACTTGAAATTTACCTTTTCTGAAGCTTTTCATTTAGTGATCTTAGTTTTATAGTTCAAGTATTCGTTTTTTATTTTATTTATGACTTTGTATGCAGGATCAAGAATCGATGGTTCTCCCATTTTTAATATAACTGCAGCTACACCTGCACCTGTGCGGAAGACTGGTGCTGATGAATTTCTTAATTCTGACGGTGAAAAAAATGACTATGAGTGGTAATTTTCTTGATACCTCCGAGGGCTGATTGTGAATTTCTTTAAATTTTGTAGTGTTGATGCCCTTTAATGGTAAATATATCAATTTAATTTGTCTTCATGGAGTGCTTTTATTGTACTTAAACTCCTATTTATACTTGGATTAAAAGAAAATATCTCTTGTTGACTTTCTCCTCCCATAAGAATGAATTTGATTATTTTTCACATTTCAAATGGACTCAACAATCTATCGGATAAATTCCATCTTAGAAGTATTGACCTTTTTATAAAATATCTGTGATTTCTTACAGTTGATACTCAAAGATGCACCACAAGTTCTGTATAGTTTTCTTCTCAATCCAACACCAGACTAGAATAATTATGTGGAAGGTTCTCAACTGTACAAACACTGTACTTGCTATTTATTATTAGCTTGGAATGGATGTCTCTGTATCTGCATACTCGAATGCCTTTAGTATATTGGTACATTGGTAACTTAATTAGTTATTTAAATAATAAATTACTAATCTCTGTGTTTAATCTTTATCATTTAGTAATTAGTCAAATACTGGTGAATAACATAGATAAGTTATCTTTTCATTCTTATTATAATTATTAGCATAGCAAGGTCTAATTTATGGAACTTTACATTTTTTTTGTGTGGTGATGATATTAAGCTTATGTTTGAGCTCCATTTTGTGTGAAAAAATGAGTTTTGTATTAGTATTTTTTGGAGAATGGGTGATTAAAAATAAGTAAAAAATTTGGGTTTAAGTGTAAAATTATTTTATTGGGAGAATGTGTAGTTGAAAATGAGTTTAAGAAAAAAATGAGTTTTTAAATAATGTGGATCAAACAGGAGCTAAATATCTGCAAGTCTTCTTTACCAATGAACAGAAGTAGCATATAGAATGTAGCTCCAATATAAAAGGCCTATATTCACTAGGAAAGGTTGCTGGTGAAGTAAGTTTGTTTTCCTCTACTTCACCCCTTTAAGTTGCTAAATCTTAGTTATTATCAATAGTAATTTTTCTTGGTTTAAAGATGGATTGCATGATTTACATAAGCTCAGATAATGAAATATTATATGTGCTCATCATCACATATTGCTGATGTTAATTGGATATTTTGATCCCTTGGAAATAATTTGGGCTTTGATTTTTCGGAAACAAAAAATTGACTCTCAAATTTATAGTTACTGCTGTCAGATGTGTCAATGGGGCTTGGACTAGATTTTCTTGAGAATTCTAGATGGAACGTAAAGGTTCACTTTATCTCAATCCACAGTCATTCAATGGCACTCATAAAAGGTTTCTTATGTTTTCAGGCTTTTAACACCTCCAGGTACTCCTCTTTTTCCTTCACTAGAGATGGAATCACAAAAAAGTGCTCCAAAATTTCACTCCCCGGTGCTGAAATCTAGAGTAAGCTAAAGATAATAGCATTCTGTTTTTATTGGTTTGAATGTAAAATTAGTTCTTCATGTTTCTATGGGATAGGAGTTTGGTCATTCCTTATGCACTAGGAGCTAACATACCTCCTAAAATTCATGGGCCGTGTCCTGAATGTTCTTAGCTTAAAGCGCATAGTGACTGATATATTCTTTCATGAAGTGGAAAGCAAATATGTAGTGTGAATTGACAAAGATCATGTGGCCAATGTGTTTTATAAGTTTCCATTCACTATGTAGAAGGAGCGAACAGATTTTAGGAAATCAAGTCCCTAAAAGAGCAAAGGAGTTAAATATTCTTATAATACATTTATTTGTTTCTAATTCTATTATATGATGATGGTCATTATGATAAGCTGCATAGTTATAGTCTATAATCCTCTTCAAAACTAATAGTGCAGTGAGTGAGAAATTCACCTTGCTTAAGGAACAAACACATTGGCAGTCCTTTGTGAAATATTTTTTTGGGTGTTTTAGAGAATTATCTGCAAAAATTATGAAATATTTTTTTTTCTTCTTCTTGTTTTCTACGCTTGAAGCTAGCAAACTCCCAGCCTGAGCTGGCTAGCAGGAGCCATTTATTATCTAGACAGCCAGCATCATCTCTTAGGTTAAATACTTCAACTGGAGGACTCCGCAGGCCCTCTTCATCTGGGGGTCCTGGATCAAGAGCTGCAACACCAACTGGGCGTCCAACATTGAGCTCAACATCTAGATCCAGCTTGACTCCAGCGTCTGATAAATCTACATTGACCACGGCTTCTAAATTAACCTCCATCATGTCATCTAAAGTAACATCAACCACATCATCTAAACCTTCGAGATCTGCAACACCTACCTCCCGTGCTTCCTTGCCTTCTGCTAAGCACACGGTTCCTCCGAGATCCGCAACACCTACTTCCCGTGCCACCTTGCCTTCAGCTAAGCCCACGGTTCCTCCGAGATCTGCAACACCTACTTCCCGTGCCACCTTGCCTTCAGCTAAGCCCACAGTTCCACCGAGATCTTCTACACCTACCACAAGGTCCACCTTGCCTTCAGCTAAGCCCACAGTTCCACCGAGATCTTCTACACCTACCACAAGGTCTACCATAAGATCCTCAACACCTACAACCACACAATCTTTACCTGCACCAAAGTCCACGTCCAGGGCATCAACCCCAACTCGTAGGACATCAGTGTCAAGTGCCCCATTTAAATCCCCAACCTCTTCTTCGGTAATAAAGTCTGTTACCTCTACAGCAAAAAATCCAGTGCCAACAGTGTCTAATTCTCCAACTACAAAGCCCAAACCATGGAAACCCTCAGACATGCCAGGATTTTCACTTGATGCTCCATCAAACCTGCGGACATCTCTGTCTGATAGGCCGGCTTCTGTCACTAGGGGTAGAACTGGAGCACCAAGTTCTCGATCATCATCCATAGAACCCCTTTCAAATGGAAGGGTTAGAAGACAATCATGTTCTCCAGCAAGAGGACGGCCTCCCAATGGTATTACTCGTAGCAATGGAAGCTCCGTCCCCGTGCCTGCTGTAAATCGGTTGCATGCCAAGGCAAATGACAATGTGAGCCCTGTCCTCTATGGAACTAAAATGGTTGAGAGAGTGATAAATATGCGGAAACTGGCTCCACCGAAGCAAGATGACAAACATTCACCCATGAGCAACTTATCTGGAAAGTCTTCATCACCCGACAGTTCAGACTTTGGGAGAACACTTTCAAAGAAATCGTTAGATATGGCAGTAAGGCATATGGTATGTACATTAATATCATCTTTCGTCATTCAAGTGATACTATAATCACTGGTAATCATATTGAAGGTGGTGGTTTTTTATATCATTTAGTGAAATAACGTTCTAAATCAATATATGGTGCTTAACATAAATTAATTTCTGGTTTTTCCTGTGCAGGGGATAAGGCGAAACATTCCAGGCAATCTACGTCCACTAATGACTAATATCCCGGCATCCTCCATGTATAGTGTGAGATCAGGGCATAACAAAAGCAAGACGATTAGTATGTCTGATTCCGCATTTGCAACAAGCAGTGCTAGTTCTGAAGTGAGTGTTAATAACAATGCCCTTTGCATGGATGGAAGTGAAGGGGATGATGATGTTAGCAGTGATAAGCCTCCCCGATCTCCTGCTAGCATATGTAGCAGGAGAAGATAGTCCATGCTACCATAATATACATGCATTAACCATTGGCTTATATTCTGAACTTCTGGTTTGAAGCTAATTCGACAATTGAGAGACTATCATTCTCCACTAAAGAAGGTCAGTGTATATTCAGATTCACGAGTTAGATGTATAATTTGAAATCATTGTATCATTATTAGAAATTTGGTTCATAAGCTAAACCTTCGTCCAGTCGTTTGCTTGTGAACTTTGGACATTAAGATCAATGCTAACTCCATTTTTTTAAAGGATGAATTAAGTAGTCTAAATTTGTACATATTAATATTATGGCATGTTTGGCAAATACCCAAATTCGGACCTTGCAAGCGGGAAACAATTCCTTCAGGTGAGAATGCAACTTAGTTGCTTGCTCTGCTGATAACGGATGAGATAATGGGATGAAATTGGCCCGCTGGTTTTGTTCAGATTGTGTGACAAAGTTCATATAAACTGCAAGCAAAAGTAATTTTATTACATATTTGATCAAGCTATTAGTCTGTCGTGAGTGTTAAGAATCGAGTTGTTTTGAATATTTTAATAGATCTAGCAAGAAAAGAAATGAAAATGGTGAAATTAAAAAATTTAAAGTGAGTAAAGATAATTAGCAAATTGTCTTAAAATTACCAATCAAATTTATACTCTAATTTGACGACATCAAGTATAGTATGGCAAAGAAATGGACGTTGGAAGTAAATGAGCTATTATCAAATATTTTTACATAGAAAACTGAAAAATGCGAGTATTTAATAAATTAGCACGAGAAGGTGGAAATAAAAGGTAACAAATTGAAAAACTGCATTCTAATATACATCAATCTCTTTCAAGTGACATAACTAAGAATTCTGTTCACCTGCAAATAATTTATTGGCATTGACTGATACAATTAGGAAATACATAAAATTCAAACCTATAAACAATATTACACAAGAATCTTACTTTTCACAATCGTGTGCAAATGTCTGATAGTGCAATAGAGAAACTCATCTGACAAGAATTTGAACATTTCTGAGTTTCATTAGTAGCTGCTCCTGAGAACAGCCACAGAATGATCCTATACAAAATTTTGGGAGATCTGGCTAGGACACACTGCCTTGTGAAAAGAATAATATCCTACACTCCGTTCGATTTCAGCGTAAGTTTGTCTTTTCTGAAGCAGGGATGCCATGCTTTTGAAACCATTCGGGCATGTAAAATCTTTCGTACAGAACTGGCCTTACGTCTTTCTGCAGAGAGAGGTGCTTGAGAAGTGGAAGAATAACTTCCAAAAGCTGTTAAGCACAGTGATTAACAGTTAGTCGTAAGAGTAGGAGGGATAGTTGTGAGGAAGAACAAAATATCTTGGACGAGTAAAAGGAGGTACCTGATCATCATGTGGTTGTCCAGCAGAAAATGGAATGCATGGAATTCCATTCAAGGGTTGCAACAAGAAACTAAATGGGTTGTTATCAACAATGACAATTCGACATAAATCCTTTGATAAGCACGATAGATCCTTCACATGTTCACGATATTTTCTGTTATCTATGCAAACAAGTGAGGTTATCACAGTAAAACATAACTATGTGTATGTATGCATGTCTAAAAGCTTGTTTGGAAAGTGTGTATAAACGGTTTAATTTATAAATAGATAGAAATGAGTGGTGGACAAGTGGACAATACTTGTGAGTCTAAGAAATGTGTGGATAAAAAGTCATTTGACCCTTTATAAACAGTTTATGAACATTAGCCAAACATGGGCTAAATGCTCGTTTATGCTAGGACATTGAAAAGAAAACGATAATTCAGTGGTGAAAGAAAATTGATGATAATATGTTAAGCATCAGACAAGGACAACTTGGGTGTTTGAGATATGCTGTGCAGACCTAAAGAGGTTCATGTTCATAATAGTGACTAATGATCTTGTTGCTTTATATCATCGAGTAAATCTAGCAACTTTATCCAAATTAAGACCTTTCGAATTCTCCACTCCAGAAATTAAGAAAACACAAAATTCATGGATTCTCAAACAAGCCCTTGAATCTAAACTACAGGACTAAAGAAGGAAAAAAAACTCTGATGACACTACACTAGACTCAGAGATTCACATGCAACAAATTCACATAATTTGCGAATACTGTAATTTCATTCAAGCTTCCCCTTTCTTAAACTCAAATGGACTGCCCTATTTATGGGAAACCAGTTTGAGAGGAAAAATGGAAATTGAAGGCTTCTACCAAAAGCCAATTAAGACAACATGATATCATGCAACAAAGAACCATAGTTTTCAATGACTTTAAAGCGTGGAATCTAACTTCTAAAAAAAAATAATAATAAATAAAAATAAAAGACAAAGGAAAGAAGCAGGAGCCAATCATTTGTTTATTTGAGTTTTATATCTAAGCAAGTAGGAATCCAAACCTAACGCCTACCTTTGAAAACTCAAATAGAAAGAAAATTGTCTATAAAAGTAATTTCAGTAAACAGAGTACAACAAGGATACAAACTCAGTTAAAGAATCTATGATTAGAGAAGATACAAAATTAGCAAAAGCTTTTAAGAATAATGTTTGTTTAGTATTTTTCAACTGCCTTTGGCACTGGAAGAAACATGAAACAGAGTGCTTATAAATATTTTTTGCAAGTCTAGACTAATTTGTCAAAAAGAACTTCCTATAAATATGAGCAAAGTTAGTGCTTATAAGCAATGTCTAACATGTTCTGCTTATATGCACGGAAATTAATGCTTATAAGTAATCCCAATCACTCTCATTGTTGTTTCAACAGTGATGAGAGGAATATAAATATAAAGGTTAACATGTTGTCCATGTCTTTGATGCTATTATAACCCCATAAGACATATATACCAGCATAACAAAAGGTAGATGCTTTGGTGCATCTCATGACTATTGCACTTGTATTTCTCTCTTTTTTCTTTAACTTTTTGTCAAACATAAATACATTTTACAGATATCAAGGTGTAAGGAACATGCAAAAAATGGCAAGATTCTACATACAAATAGATCACAGTACAGAAGCATCTACACTTACGTGCTAATCGTCGAAGGCCGATACAGTCTACTACTGAATCGATTTTCAGCATCTATTCTGTCAACAAGTGGTCTAGCATAGCCTGCAAGAGTATAAAAACAGGAATTGAATGTAAAATAAATAAAATCTTAAAGAAAATGGTATAACAATAGGAAAAAAGAAAATTAAGATGTTGTGGAGTGTCAAGAAACCTTCAAGTCCAGCAGTAAATAACACAAGATCCGCAAATTCACTTAGTTGTTTTAGAAATTCATTCAATCCAGGACGTTCAAACACTGTCACATAGTTGATCTTAGGTTTTCCTTCAAATTCCTTGAAGCCCCATGGAAAAAAAGGTGAAAGGGATATCAAATGTTAAGATCGACTGTAGACTTTTCTGCTTTATCCTTAAGTTGAAAAGATATGTAACAAACCTTATCAGACGAAACACATTCTAGTTCAAACCATTTTAAACCAGCTTCAGTGGCCTGAGCATGTACCATTGCAGGCAGACTTGACGTCTCATATGCACAGACCAGAGTTTCATCCAAGTCAAGAACCACCTGCACACATTAAAATGGGTGAGATGGGAAAAGAATTTCAATGTGGCAGTATGCATCTTTTGACAGAAAAATTTCATCAGCCTAATAATAATGATGAAATAAATAATTTTTTTTTTCCCTTACTGTTATGTAGAATTTATAGTTTTTATCGTAAATCAGGACGAAAGTCTACAAAGTCTAAACCATGACTCACTCTAGATTTAGTAATCCATCATTTGTTCTACCTTTCCCTATTTTATTTGACAGTTAATTCTTATCCTTGATCAAATACCACAACCCCCACGAAGAAAAAGAAGATGGCATTCTTGCACTTGATTGACTGCATTAGGCCTTCTCCCAAATATATGTAACTAATTATATAAAATTGTTTCTTTATGTTTCCATTTACTCAGGTCTCCAGTCACTTCATGTACATCACATTTTTTCTTGGGCCAACTGGTCAACTAAAAATAAATAAAAAATCAACAGATCATTCACAATTAGATGGCATGTTAAGTTTCCAAAAATACCCCGTGTTCCTTTTGGTATCACAGAAGTTATGATCTACGTCATTAGTTAAATAAGTTGAATCACAAGGCTAAAAGTCAACTCAAGCACTTCATAAAGTCGATCATATACTTAATATTTCCCATCATTAGATATAGGCATTTAATAGCCCTTTGTTTGTAGCAATTGTAAACAATTCTATAAAATAATCGATCTCCAAAACATAATCCCATGAAATATCAATTACATTTTCTATATAGCTTTCTTGATCAATATTGGCCATTATGGAATAGAAAAATATAAAACAAAACAAAACAAGACATGTTTCCTATCTTTCTTCATCTAATATGGTGATCGAGCATCTTTAATCCACGTTTGGATTTAGCTTGTCTTCACTTGCATTCATTGGCAAGCCACCTAGTACTGCTTGCCCAGCTGACTTTTTATCTTCGGTTTCTTTAAATATTTCAATTTTAATTAAAAGAATATTATGCTCTATATATGCTTTCCTTATCTGATGGAGGATGACAATCCCTTCTCTCCCTATGCATTGCCCCCTGGACCACCATCACCATTCTTGTCGCTTGGCCAAGCGGTTTGCTTGGTTCTCTCATCAGCTATATTTTCTCGCTTCTCGATATCGTATTCGGCATCCTCACTTCATGCCAGTTTTTGTCTTTTCTCTTGAGCCTTGCCTGCGCTCGTTCTCTTTCTCCAGCCTATTGGCAGTATAGGAATTTGGGCATATTTATCCATCGATTCTATTTATTTTACTATTAGACTTTACACTCTGAGTCACAGCCTACTTAGCCTTAGGCGCTAACTTCCTCAAAGTCATTCATACCTCTTTCTTAAAGCTTTATTAATTACAAACACCACCTTCTTCACTAAGTCCAAACTTGCAACCAACTTTGTCCTCATGACAAATTAGTATTGGCAGCAGTGGCATTAGTCCTTGTCTTGGATTTTGAAATGACAAATTTTCCTTGATGATTTTGTTTGTAGCAACCTTTAGGTTGACACCAAGAGCCAAAAGGCAGCTTCTTAATACGGCTATTCTATTCACAATTCGATGAACCCTAGATACAAACTAATTCCATTCTGAACTCTCAAGCTGGCTTGCCTTCTACCACCTCAAGCTTCTAGGAACATGAAGTTTAGGGATTTTAGAATCCCTTGGTTAGAGTAATAGATCACAATCTATAAAATATGACATTGGTCATTTCTTAGTCACGATTATGACAATAACTAACTCAAAATTTCCACTTATTTTCCTTTATTCCTATTGCTATCAAATTCAGACCAATTTAAATTCAAAACTCAAACTAAAAGAAAATACCTTTAGCTTCTCCAAAGACGAAGCATCCAGCAGCTTCCCTCCACCCGCGATTGGAACAGCAGCCGCAAGGGGTGGATGAGTAGGCGGCGGAAGGGCCTCTTCCGGCTCTTCTCCAAACTCCGACAGCTCAACTACCGGCAAAGGCTTAAAATGCGACGGAGCGTGAGCAGCAGAAGAAAGGAAGGAGCCGTGACGCAGGCCGACATAAGAGAGGACCTTTAGGGATTTTAGAATCCCTTGGTTAGAGTAATAGATCACAATCTATAAAATATGACATTGGTCATTTCTTAGTCACGATTATGACAATAACTAACTCAAAATTTCCACTTATTTTCCTTTATTCCTATTGCTATCAAATTCAGACCAATTTAAATTCAAAACTCAAACTAAAAGAAAATACCTTTAGCTTCTCCAAAGACGAAGCATCCAGCAGCTTCCCTCCACCCGCGATTGGAACAGCAGCCGCAAGGGGTGGATGAGTAGGCGGCGGAAGGGCCTCTTCCGGCTCTTCTCCAAACTCCGACAGCTCAACTACCGGCAAAGGCTTAAAATGCGACGGAGCGTGAGCAGCAGAAGAAAGGAAGGAGCCGTGACGCAGGCCGACATAAGAGAGGACCTGAGTGAACGAAGGCGTTCCCCGGAGGATCTGAGTGAAGATCTGGAAGAAAAAGGTCAACCAGTTCAACAGTGTTCTCCAAACCTGTATTGTCCGTGGCGCGTAAGCTTCAGGCGCCGCCAGCTCTGCCATCATAAATATATAATATTAGTTATTGTCGAAATCTGTTTCTCTAAGTCTGCCAGGGAATTAACGAGCACAATTCAATACAATACTGGATTTTTTTTGGTTTTTTGCTGTGGTGAGAGACAGATATAGACAGAAAAACAGACGACGAAGGAGTGGTCAAGATGGCAGCTGTGGCTATATCGAAGGAAATGAATAGGAGAGAGAGTACGCGGCGCGTGTAAAAGTGAGAGTGGGAGAGAGATAATAGGCGGACAGTACTTTATTACTGTTAATACAGTTGGTCTTTCTTTTTTTTATTTTGGACTTTTTCCTTTTTATTTTTAGCCTTTTTTCTTTTCCTCTTTAATATTATTATTAAGAAGAAAAATTATGATTCTTTCGTATTTTGATTTGCCTTCTTGAAGTGCTAATTAAGTCATGCTTTTCCTCCTTCAGCCGAGATTATTTGCAAAGAATAATTCTAATTCTCAAAGCTCGAGCAATGATAAATAGACAAAAGCTCGACTAGATAGAGCTATAAATAGAATTGAATAGAAAAATTTTATCATTTAAAATTAGAGTTCTGAATCAATCGAATAATATCGTCAAAAGTTAAAAACTATATATAATTATAGTGATCCATGCAGAAGAAACTTATGTATTTATAGGCAATAAATATATTAAAGACATTTAGCCTTTGTTTGGTTTGGCTAAAAATCATATATACAATAAAATTTAATAAATGTTTGATGAAATATGTAATTAAAAATTCGATAAAAATTATGAAAAATATTAAATATGTGATTGAAAATAAATTTTAAAAATCGATACTGAACATGGACATAATATAAGAGACAACTAATCGTTCCTATGAGTACCTTGTATCTTCAATAAAAAATTTAGTTGGTATGCATACACTTATGGTTGTAATTAGTTAAATAAACATAAAGTGAAGAATACTCGTACTGTTTCAAAAATCACTATCTTCTAAACCAAAAATTAAAAACTATCTAGCGCATGTGTTTGATTAATTTAGGCAAGTATGTGAGGAAAGCTGAATTTATTAGTAATGTCATTATGTCTGAACTACACGAATAGTATGGAATTCTTAAGATATTGACAAAAAAACACTTGCACCAAGTCAAGGAAAATATTGGAGGTCTACATACATTGTTTTGTTCAATTCAACAATCTATCCTATGCGACTCATCAACTTTCTAAACAATGGACCCATTTTCTCTATTAAACTTTTATCAGATGCATCACAAAAGAAATTCTAAACAATGGGATCATCAACTGCACACAGATTATAGGAATATTAATTCCAATTAAGCACTGATTGGTCCAATGATTTTTAGCAAAATTGACGAAAAGGTCAAACTCAATCAATCAAAAAATACAGCTTGCAAGAAATCATCACAACCAACAAACTTGAAAATGAAATAAGTGGTCTATTATAATTTTTACTTAATTGCAAGTTAGTTGCGTAGGGATGAATCCAAGGATATATGAAAAAACCTTTTGGTGGATTAGTCTTCAGTTGCAAGTTAGTTGCATGGAAGCATGTATGAGATATGTTTGTAAAAGAGTTGAACAAATGCGGACTTTGGAACTTTTTACTCAATTAGTGCAATAACATATTCAATACTGTCATCATATTCGACAATGAAAAGGTAATTTCAAGAGATAATTATGCCATATGTCACTCATTCATAGTAAAACATTTTAAAAACACACATTAACTTAAATAATCGAATCTCCATGGAAAAAGGAATTCTTATAATAATTGAATTAAACAAGAAGCATAATGCACGTGGACAAGAAAATGAAATAGAAGCATCCACTTTGCGCAAGATTAAATATCAAGTTTACTTCATTTAGTATACCATTTACTCACTTTTTTTATTTACTTCTTCATACTTTTATTTACTTCATTTAGTAAAGAAAATGAAATAGAAGCATCCACTTTGCGCAATATTAAATATCAAGTGTAATTCATTTAGTATACCATTTACGCACTTTTTTTGTTTACTTCTTCATACTAACTACAGTAATTCACCCTTGCTAATACTTGATATCAGAATAGCAATTTAAATTTAACTAACCGTTAATTGTTCGGCATGCTTGCCTTGGGAAGCAAAAAATTTTAAACTCTTCCATATTCCTCATAAAGTATATAGCTAGTCCAGAAAGTAAACAAGTATTCCATTGACATAAGAATGAAAAGCCTGATATTCACCCATAACAAAGAAACTTAAAGGCATTGCAGATGATTAAGAAAATGAGATTTAAAAAATATATGTATACGATATGAAAGCTATTCCAGTAGAAATTTTCATCCATTTATCTGTAAAAATAAATAAATTCCCAAGAGTCAAAATATCTCGTCTCCCAAATGAAGGACTACAGTAAACCTTGGACAAACAAAAGCAAAAAATCTTGTAGACAAAAGTACCAAAAAAAAAAAAAGGAAAAGAAAGATTAAAAGAAGAGATGTGGAGGTAGAATAAGAAAGATTAAAAAATAATTAGAAAATAGTAGAAAAAAGGGGGGAAAAACCCAAAGTATATAAGAAATCTATCATTAAAAACAGAAAAATTACATTAATCATAATTTAGCTCATAAGAAAACTGAATTTTTACTATTAACTTTCTTTCAAATGCATATAGACAGTTCCAAACAAGTAAATAAACAAACACGTGCATAAGTTTTAGTCTCATTATCTAAATAAGAACAATATCTAACTCAATTTGCCCTTGTTCATCGACTACAAATGTAGATATATAAAGGATTTAAAAAATATCTCATGGATTCAAGAATCTAAATAAATATGAATCCGAAATGCAATTGGGTATATAAAATTGACGAGAAAAAATACTAATTTCGCAAGATGTGCATTAATAATATTGATAAAACGATCACTACCGAATAATTCCACCTCCTTGAGCAAGAAATACCTGACTGCATCAGAGCCAAATCTGTACACCAAGTTAATGGACTCAAGTGTATTTCCCAGTAACTTTCCCATTTTAAAGTCATCTTGACAAATTAAAAGCATTGCTCATTAAATAAAGTAGATTAAATGAAGAAAATAGTAAACAAATTCATTATGATCTGTATTTTATACAAGCGGAAATAGATAGAAACTATATTAGAAACAATCTTTTAAGGTTTGAGGTAAAAGATGAAAAACTAACTTAAATTACCTTTGTCAAGAATCTATGGTAAAAAACCATCTTCAAGAGGAATATACCTGTGGCAACCACCAAGCTGTAAAAAGCCAAAAACTCAAGCTTAGCATTCAGAAAATTTATTACAACAACTCCAAGAAGAGCATGATAAAATTCAATACATGGCATGTTCAGAGATAAAATATGAATTGAGCAAAAATTTTACAATTTGGGTGAGAGAGATGAGCTTGAGAGAAAAAGAAATGAAATTGTAGGAGAGAAGAAAGATAAATGGACGTTGCGTAAAGTAGGGAAATAGATGTTGCATGAAGAAGTGGGGAAAAATAGATATTGCGTAAAGAAATAGAGAAAAATAGGGTAAGCAGAGAGAGAGAAAAAAATTTACCGATAAAAAAAAATAAAAAAAATCTCTCCGCATAGTGGCACTGTGCGGAGAGTTTTTTTTTCCTCTTCGCACTGTGCGAAGAGTTTTGCCATGGTACCAACTCTCTACACCTGGTTTGTCATCTCTTCGCATTGTGCAGGGAGTTTTTTTTTTTAATGCTCGTGTGCGGAAAGTTGTTTTTCTTTTTCTTCATTTTTTTTTTGCTCATGGCAGTTTAAATATATTAAAATTATTATTATTATTATTTTAATGTTGATGGCATAATGTGTAGAAGGATGACCATAAACAAAATGTGAAAATAAAAAAATGCATCACGCACAGTAAAATTGGATTAATTTACTATTGCATCTACAGTAGTGCCTCATTCCCCTTTTTATAAGAAGTTAGATATATTAAATTTATATTTAACAATACATTTCGTATAAGGGCTAAAAAAAAAACATTTTACATATTGCCGTATTTTAAGTTTTGCATAATGTAGTTCTGGTAATTGATTTTTCATTAATTTTTATTTTTGTATAAATTTAATTATCTTCTTTTCCTAAAATATCAAAATACAAAAAATTAATTTTAGTAACTTAATTTGTATATATATATATATATTCTCTCAGTAAAATAATTATACACGTAAATTCATAACTATTTCTTATTTTCAACCATACATTCTCAAAATAAATAAATAAATATGCTTCACAAATCTATTCTAGAAAAATTTATATCAAACGGGTTCAAATCATTGAAAACTTTAAAAACTCCTCCAGCATTGTTAAAACAAATAAAAATTATTAAGTGCTGTAGTTTGATTAAAAAAATTTATTCAATGAATAAAAAATAAAGATAATCAATTAAAATTGAAATTTTATAAGTATGTACCGAACTAATACCGCTTGTTCAAAATTATAGTCTTTTAGACCCAAATGCAGAATTGGAACAATCAAAAGCAACAAATCACATATTAATTAGTTTCTAAATGATATGGTAATTAATCCAATTTAATTAATCATATGTGTCAATCAAATAAAATAAATAAAGATCAAAAGAAACGAAGAACATCAAATATAATCATGGAGGAAAATCCCTAACTAGTTAAAAACCTTCGGACAAACTTGCCAGTAAAATTCATTAGAAAAGATTTGACTTATAGTATTGGTCTAGAGACTGCTAAACTTTAGCTGACTCTGACTACCTAACTTGTAAATAACCGAGGAAATCCTTCCATGGTGCATTCTTGCACTTCCTATAATTTTGAGCTACTTTTCTCGCCGCATGGATTAACAAGAATGAACGTCATTTTTGAGCATCGGAACTCCATGTGCCTCTTCCTAAAACTCCAAAACTTTGAAAGTGATTGGTGAATGTAAGGTTTTGTTTTGTTTTCGTGTTTGATCTTTTCGTGTTTTGATCTGTACGCTGATACAAGAGATATTAGAATATGTATTTTGCTTTCAATGAACAAACTCTTGACTTAAAACAAAGCTTTACTCATGAAGGATCAATATATAGGATTAATTATATGACAAAGATTTTGGGGTTGAAATGATAAATAAATGAAATGTGTTTATGATCTTCAACAATGAGATCTCTAAGGCAAAATAATGATTCAACACTCCTTGGAATGTTCATGGAGTTGTATATTTATAATGGAGGTGTTTGAGATGAAAAAGGTACTCAATATCAACTTTAAAATCGAATTTTACCATTCCTCGAACGCTTATCGAGCGGCCAGGAAGCGGTCCCTGAACATTCGTTGGTATTTTCATCATAACTTTCTCTTTTACTCTTTGATTGAGGTAATTCAAAGTATTTTGGAAAGCTAATTCAAAAAAACACTCTTAACACTCATTTGATTTCTAATTGTATTTCATTGATCGTATGTGGTCTTGGACATTTTTTACTCCCCCAAGGACTATACTATCAATCCTTGATTATTTTGACTTTTATTACAATTTCATTACTCCTATTTTGACTTTGATTACAACTCAATTAACTTCTAATACAATTCAACTATAACATGATTTTGACTAAGAAAATTGCCAGTTACAAATTTAGAAATTGCCAATTATATGATTTTGAACTAACAAAATTAATTTTCCATATTTGTAGTTATTTGTTGTTAAAATTAACTTCTTATTCATATTAGTTGGAATAATTTTGTAACTTAAGAAATTGTTAAAAATAATGCATAATTTTGTTGGTATCTATTGCAAATATAAGAGAATAATTTATATATATAACTAATAAAATTATATAATTTTTTGTAAAAATGAAAAAAAAAATTGTATATCATTAATGCAATGAGAGGACTCGATTAAATGTTAAATTATGCAGAAAAAGATGACTAAGATGAAAATGAAGTAAATGAAGGGGAAAATTTTTTTTAAAAAAAATCGTATGTAAAGTATTACATAGTTTGATGCAAAAGGTTGTTATTTTTAATTATGGATATTTTGGTCTATGTAACTATTTTTAATGTCAAACTTGTAATTTTTCAACAAAAGTTTTTTTCCCATTACCATATTGTAATTTACTATATCAAGTGTAAATTTAAAAAATACTGTATGTGAAACGTAAATACACCCCTAAACAAATTGTATGTTTTGTAAATTACCATAAAATAATTTAAAGTAAAATTGCATTAGGTTTGAAGTTAAATAACTAAATATAATACATTTAAAATTAGAGAAATAGACTCCTAATAAAGATACAGTTAAAATTTTATTTTATTATCGGATCAATAAAGCCTATCTTTCTTGTGATGATCAAATGAGATTAAAGGTGGTGGTAGATATTGTCTGATGGGGTTCGATAGTAATACACTATATGCAGAGACAACTTTGAGGGTAAGCAAGTTGAGTGATCATACATGGCTTCGACATTGTAGAGGCACACAAAAAATTTGTTACAGAAGTATATATATGTTTAAAATGTTTATTAATTTTAAAACTTAAATTTTATTATTTTGTTAAGTTAAATGACACAATATTTATGAAAAAAGAGTAAAAAAATTATATTACATTAATATTTTTTAATTTAACATATTATTGAAAAATATATTTATTTTTTCTAATTTTAAACTATCTTGCTTTTGGGAAAAAATCAAATCCCAAATGCTAAATTAGCTTCATTAACCAATTACCAACACAACAAGACGATAAGCAGTCCAAAATTCAAATGATTAAAGTAAAGAGTGAAAAACTAATTCTAGACCCCTTTTCGCCTCCATTTGAACCCACGAACAACAGTCAAATAAAGAAGAAAAGAAACTCTACCATCAATCTTTATTGCTTGCTTGCATTTCAAAGTTTACATGTAGTATTTGCTATTTGTGATTTCAAGGTATGCTCATATGAAATTGAATGAAGAAGTTAATGGCTTGGAGGGTTCTTTCTTGATCATATATAGTTTTGATGAAGTTAATTACTTGTGCTTTTCTATTCACAATATGTGAATTAATAAATAAATATTTAAAAATCATATTTTTTGAATGAAACAAAATTATTGAGATATATTCTTTTTTCTTAATATATTTTTTTAATGACGTAAAGGGGGCGCCATTTTAAAAAGTTACATAGGGCACTCAAAATCTTAGGACTAACCCTATGGAGCCGAGGAAGGGAGACCATGAATCCAAACTTCTAAGAGGTGAAACTATCTCCGTATTCCTTTGATAATTGGGATTCAAATGAGTTTTTACTAATCAGTATAAGTAAAATAGAGTGCTACTACAGGAGAGAAGAACGTAATGAATATTTCAATCGCGTTGAGGAGTTGGCTGTTGGCATGTATTGTTTATAAAGCTTATATAGATCCCATAACTGCTTTTACTATGTTGTTCTTCATGTCACCATCCAAACGATACACAACCTTCAGGGATTTAGTATCTCCTACCTGCCCGTGCCCAAGTATTTAAGGATAAGATAACTACTACTGAAATTCCTAGGGGACCTCTTTGATCAATCCATTGGACATGTCTCATGGCCATGTAATGGAATGAGACTTGGTCGATTCATCCGTGATATTCCTAGTCGAGAATAAGATGTCTATATAACAACTTTATCTAAAAGCTTAAGTTTTCAAATATTATAAGATCAAATTTTACCTCCATCTATCAATAAAATTGTGAAGAATTAATATGCGCGTACAAGGGGCTTCCCGCAGAGTGTGTACAGGTACTCACATGGGATGTGGGTCTGATGTGGGACCCCATGTAATAAAATATTGCAAAAAAAAAAAAAGCTGACCCCCCACACTGTGAGTAGCCTGTAGAGCTTCTGTAGAAATTCTTTCTGATAGCGTAGTGCTGCTCAATTGTGAATGAAGAAACAAATCAGGCCTTTCACGCTTTATAAACTGTATGAAACAGAGAGGAAGCTATGCATATATTTCAATCCATGAAATTAACACCAACAAACTATTGTCGATTCTATTGTAAGAGGAGTACAGGACATCTATATTCACTCACCAAACCTCGAAAGAACCGAAGAAACATAAGTATCTACAAACTTATAATGGACAAGTTCTAATTACTAATTTCTGCTAGTCATCGATCATACCTCTTTCCGAACATATTTCTCAAGGTGAGAACAGAACAACATGAAAAGAATTGATCGGTCAGTTCATGACATTTCATTATACTGATGAAAGTAGGGAGACTCTAGTCTGGTGCTCTTTCTCCCAGAATGGATGGTCCTCTTCTACACCATAATCAAGCATTGTATTTGTATTTTTAGCAGCCCTTTCCATGGATAATAGATTGGTGTGTTCATTTGATGCCAATTCCTCTGCATAATGGTCATTGAAGAGAGAATTTGATCTTCTGATAGCGTAGTGCTGCTCAATTGTGAATGAAGAAACAAATCAGGCCTTCCACGCTTTATAAACTGTGTGAAACAGAGAGGAAGCTATGCATATATTTCAATCCATGAAATTAACACCAACAAACTATTGTCGATTCTATTGTAAGAGGAGTACAGGACATCTATATTCACTCACCAAACCTCGAAAGAACCGAAGAAACATAAGTATCTACAAACTTATAATGGACAAGTTCTAATTACTAATTTCTGCTAGTCATCGATCATACCTCTTTCCGAACATATTTCTCAAGGTGAGAACAGAACAACATGAAAAGAATTGATCGGTCAGTTCATGACATTTCATTATACTGATGAAAGTAGGGAGACTCTAGTCTGGTGCTCTTTCTCCCAGAATGGATGGTCCTCTTCTACACCATAATCAAGCATTGTATTTGTATTTTTAGCAGCCCTTTCCATGGATAATAGATTGGTGTGTTCATTTGATGCCAATTCCTCTGCATAATGGTCATTGAAGAGAGAATTTGATCTCAAATAATTTTCAAAAGTGGCTTCTTTTAGGCTCCCTTCTGCTGGCCAGTTGCCAAAACTTCCAAAACCTTTGATTCCAAATATTAATTTTCTTGCTTTAGCCCTCTCTTCTCTGAGATATGACCTATCTTCAAGAAGGTTCAGAATTCTTTCAGATTTCTTCTGTACACTTAATCCCCAGTTGAACCTGCATATACGTGCCAAGGCCAACGTGTTGAAGATACGAATATAAATAAATAAATAAATACATCTCTTGTTTAGAAGTATAACACTTGAGATGATTCAGCTTACGCATGAGCCCCATTATCTCAATATATATTTTCGCTCATACTCATTTTCAATCATACATTCTTTTGATAAAATAATTTACACGCAAACCCAAAATGTTTTCCTATTTTTTAACCACACAATCTCCAAAAACACACTATTTTAACCACAACTCATTTTTTTATTCAAAACGGGGCTCAATATGGTACAAGATCGGTTGAAGGCTTTGAGGTCAACTCTCAGCTATGCCAGTTTATGACTATTTCATGACTCAATCCTTTGAGAACATGAGTTGCATGATATGAAAATCTTTATTTCAAGTCCCATAGTCCCTCATAGATGAAATTTTCAGTGTCAAGAAAAAATGAATTCAGTATACACTTGAAGGGATGTAACTTTAGTATTAAAATAAATAAATAAATAAATCGTCCAATCTTTAGTTGGTTTAGTTTATAGATAAGAACAAAATGGAAGGCAGCTAACCAACTTCTAAGAGAGATATAATTGACTGCATTAATCTTGGTAGTTACACCACGTGTTAAATTCATCTTTCCTCTAAATTTTGTTCTTAGACGATGCGATTCTCCATAATGGAATTTAAAGTTCTTCTAAGTAGTACTTATGAAACGCGCAAAAAAGATAATAATAATAGAAGACGAACAACAAGGACTAACCCTTTCTCATCCACGTATTGAAAATTTGCCATCTCTCTAATAATATCTTCATCACTTTCAATCTCATCAGCTAGCCTCAGTGGTCCATGAGTCAGAAGGTGTTCCAACAAAATCAGAGCCTTGTAAGAGGCTCTCCAGTTCCACATATCAAATTTGGACAACCTTAAAAAAAGTTAATTGATGAATCAATTATTTGTTCCTTGTACATAAAACTGAATTTAATTGTGTACAAGAAATCAAAGAACCTTTGATGCAGAATATGAACAACTCTCTCATAATCATCAACTTCAAAGGCTGCACGTGATATTAATCTCATGGCGTTTGTGTTTGCTGCCATTGAATCTCCATTTGTTATTTCTTCTGTCAATCTGCATCAGAAATCACAAGATTCGACGACTCTCTCTCTTATATTTCTTTTATTGATTTATTGGATTCACACGAAACTTTATATAGAAATAAAACATTGAATTGATGGGGGTGAAAACTTACATTTGGACGGGAGTAACATCTGTGAGAACCAATCTTGCAGTCTTGATTTTCTGTTTCAAGAAGAAGGAAGCTTGCCTCTTGAATTCGTGCATCAAAGATCCCATTTTTCTATTAAACTCAGTGAAATGTGTAGATTTTATATACGAAAATGTGAGTTTGTATAGGAAGAAATAGTCCACATGACGACGTTGGAACTATAACTACTCCATTAGGATATCTAAAAAGTGGGATTTCAAATGTAATTTAAAGATAATATGATGAATTTCAGAATATTTTGTCCCCAAGTAAAGGACTAAATAATATTCAAGATTTGATAGATTGTAACAGAAAGATAATATAAATTTTGCTTAAGATTTTTATCTTTTTCCTGGTTTGATTAGAGTGTAATTTGGAGAACTCATTAATTTTGTCTCGATATTCCTCAATGATTTTTATGTTTACGAAGGACTAAAATGTACATAACCAATTTTTTCTATACACGTCTCTGTTTCTTAATCGTGTTCGCATAACATATCAAATATGTCATTCATGTCTTTTTACTTCTAAATTTGTTTATGGCTAACGACATACTTCTACGATTACTGAATAAAATTCATTTTTCTTTTTCCAAATTTTGTCAACGTATGACTTCAAACTCAAATTTTTAAATACTTATTTATTATTTCAAGTCAAGTTTAACCAACCTAAAACTGTGATTGTTTGAATCCATTGTTTAAATTGCAATCAATAAAACTGACACTGTTGTCTATGTGCCTAATTACCAACTTTACCAGCCCATTTCACAATGGGCATATTAGGCAGCAGAATGAGTTCAAGTTAGAAACCAAACAACTATATTGAATTATTGATAGTTTTGGCGCCATTCAAAATATAAATATTTCTACTAAAATTTAAATTCGTCGAACCTCATTCTTTAGAAATTCTCAAACCCGCTTTTAAATACACATTCTCCGAACTTAATAATTTTTCACGACACATTCTTCAAAAAATCACTATTTCAAAACTCAAATTTTACAAAAATTGGACTCAAACATAACATAATTAATATCTCATCCACCTCATTTTTATAGACTAATTTTCCTTTTTTTTTTGTCCCATTTATATAATCTTGTTTCTTTATTGAGAAAGTGTTTTATTCTTTTACTAATATACCTTTATTTAATTTGACAAAAATCTGTGCAAAAGTTGATTTTTCAATCACATTAAATGAAATTTCTTAATTTGTGTAAAAAAACATAAGGAAGCTACTTGGTGCTACTGTACACTCTTGCAGCCCCCTCACAATGAGAGGGCCCACAAATTTTTATTTCATGTGGGCACCCTCATGCTGTACACAATGGTGTACAAATGATTTAATCCAAAACAAAATCAACTTATATAAATGGGACGAAAGGAGTACAAAATTTCATATAGAAAAAAATAGTAACTAAACGGAAGAAGCTATTCGGACACAATACATAATTCTTCAATCTCAGTACCTAGCTTCTCCACCGTTTATTGCTCGAGAACATACAGTCTGCTCCATGATACATATTAAATCAATATTCGACGAGACCTATTTCTGGATTTGATACAAGCTCAAAGTTGTGACTAAGTTGTGACTAGATAACAAAGAAAATTATGCTATGATCAACCAAAGTTCATAATTTCTACTAAAAACATGAAAGTTCCCTTTTCCAAGGTTTAATTAGAACAATACAGAAAAAACTAAAGGATTTTCATAGTCTGCTGTTTCAAATAAGTTCGATTCAGCTTCCACGGCTGAAATGCGATGAACATTAAAAGTCCTGTTCCTGTATCAGCCTACTTGAACGTTAAAAATTGTCTTTTTCCAGGCTCACCCAAAAATAACAACTTCATGTATAAATTTTCCATATTCCGCTCCTATAACCTAAAGACATCAGAGCCATCTCCCACAGCATATTGGGAATGCTTAATAAATTAACTTTTGATCCGGGAATTTCAGTCCAATTCACAGAAATCTCGATCATAGGTACGTGGAACCATTTGCACAAGTATACCACCTCAACATCAAAACACCACCTGCAAAATTACAAGCTTAGTAAGTTCTACAAGACAAACCAGATTATTTCCTGCATCCCAACCCAAGAAGAACAGGGGATATTCTACGAAAGTGGAAAATGAAAGGGAAGAAGCAGTGAAGCAGGGCATAGAAACAATAAATGCCCAAATGGAGTAACTGAAGGAACCATTAAACTAAACTAATGTTGTTTAAATTGTATGCTCAAAGTAATTACAGGAATGATTTGCTGTCTCCTAGATTAGATGTCTAGAACATATTGCTGCCTGTAAATACATCTGTTTTTTCCACATAGATCATGATAATTATGGTGTCTTATTATTAGGAAACTATTCATTTCACTAATCACAATAGCTGACGACATATTTATCATACACAAATGATATATATCATATCTTTGACGTAGTACTATAAAACTCAACAATGAAGTCTCTGTTCAGATATTATACTTATCATTCTCAATTGTATATTCTATGTTTATGTTAAAAAAGATTCATGGCTAAAGGAAAAGCATGACTTAACTAGTATTTCAACGAGAGTATTGGCAATGAAATATGCATAAATCACATGTTCTCTTATTCTTGAAAATTTTAATGGCAGTATTAAGAAAGAGGGGAAAAAGCTAAAATATAAAGACCATGTATTAACAGTAATTAAGTACTGCCCATCTGCTCTCTCCCCACTCTCATTACATACTCTCCAATTCATTTTCTCTCTCCTGTACATTCACTCAGGTCTTCCGGTATGTGAGCCTAAATCATGACTCCCTCCTTTATTCTGCTCCTCACGAAACACTGCAATTTAAGCCTTCGGTAGTTGAGCTGCACGAGTTTACAAAAGGGCCAGAAGAGGGCCAAAGCTGCTGCCACTTCCTCCACATCCCACTACCGGCCGCTGTCCTAATCGCTGGTGGAGGGAGAATGCTAAAAGCTTCATCTTTGGAGAAGCTGGTAATTTGTTATTTCAAGTCACCCCAAACCAACGAAGATAAATGAAGAATCGAGGGGGAAAGATGAATTACCCTTAGAATGGAACCACAAATGCCTAATTAAAGAAAATGAAGGGACCACAGCGAACTAAACTGATTTTGTTTAACTGATGTATGATAAACCAAACTAATGTAGACTGCAACTAACTGAGCCTCAATTTAATTACCTCTTTAACACCTATTCTAAAATTGTATTTTCTCCAGTGAAGATGAAAATGGTAATGATAGAAAGGAAGCAATGTGGAGGTTCATCTGGGTTTGTGTTTGGCAATTCTCATTCTGCAATGATGTTTGATCCACCAGTGTGTGGAAATTTTAGTCTGTTTTTTCATGAGATGATCGTCTTTCCAATAATCTCCCAATTTTTGAATTGCAAATAATTTTAGCATTAAAGCACAGCCAAGGACCAAAAAAGTTTATCTCAAAATAGTATGTTAAGATACTATAATCTTTCAAGAAACAGCAAACTATTTTCCATGTAATGCTATTTTGGAACTCCTATTAGCACTAATTTAACCATTTCATGATTGCTAAAAGAAGCATTTACCGTTTCAAGCGGATGTTCGTGAAAAGCTTCCTTGCAGCAGCTCTAGTGAACATCTTAAAACCACACTGTAAAATGCAAAGAAACTTGAGTAAAAATAAATAATAAATTGTTTCGAATTTCATTTATTTATCAGGCATGTTCAAAAATTATCCCTACACTGAAAAGAAACGTCTGCATCAAAAAAGTCGATGCATGATTACCTGTGTGTCACGAATTCCAGAACCAGCAGCCAAGAGAACTACCATGTGGAAACCTTTCATTAAAAAATTCCGGTACCACTTTCTCTGTAACAAAATATGAACTTTTTAGCAGATAAAAAACAATTATATAAAGTTTAAAGGTAACAATTTTAATGAGTGCAGAAGGCAACACAAAGCATCAAGACTCAACCGTTGCTAGAGCCTTCTCCTCAAGATGAGCACGAGAACCAAAAGCAGCAATTGGTATGTCCGAAATTCTTAAAGTTGAATCACTGGCTGCAGAGTCTCCAAACTTGTGTTCCTTCTTAGCAACTACAAGAATCTGTCACGTAAATCATTATATACGTTAGCTGAGCTCTCAGTTTCCTAATTCTAAAATTTGACATCTTAAAATAGAAGATTCTGCAACAAAAATAAGATTTTTATGATACACAATCTATAATCAAAGTGGGTACCAACCTGATTTTCAAGTTTTTCAAGATCACTCACTTTGGTTGCTCCATCAGCATCAAGCATTAAAAGTAGTTCACCACGAGAGTGAAGCATTCCCTGTTTTACAATGCTTTCGCAGAAGCAAAAAGCTTCAATCAAATGTTATAAAATCGATGATTCGGAACATAAAACATCAGCAGAAAAACTCCTAACTGAATCAACAAATTGTTCAGATTAGACTCACTTTTCTTATTGCTTCTCCCTTGCCATGGTTCCTTCCAAGAAGGATAACTCTTACATTTTCAACTGTGTATCTTTTCGCAAAGTCAAAAGCTACTCGTTTTGTACCATCAACACTTCCATCATCGACAATCACCACCTAATCCAGCATTTATTTATTAAGAATGCAGAGAAACCAAGAAAACTGCATGTCCCTATAATCAGTTAATATAAAACAATATGATGCAATTCTTCTGCCAAAGCTCAAATGTGACAGGTGGCATAACGGGCTTCATCGTTTTGGAACCTTTAAAGTGATAAAAATCTTGACACTGGAAACTAGACTCTCCACAACGTATCACACTCAGAAAGGGGCGTCAAGGTTTAAATGGTAAGAGTGCTGCAACTATTTGACAATTAGCAAAAGATGTAATGTAGGCATTCTCAATCACATGTATGACACGAAAAAGTATAGCAGACAAGCCTGGCCCACCATCATGTAGAAGGAGCAAAGTCAAGTAAACACACACACCAAACTTGTAAATTTATTTAGACAACTTGATAAATTCATGATGTTTGAAACCAAATTATAGGTTCAAATCTGGCTTCAGAAAGACTCCCCTACTAAATCTAACTTGCAGTTTCTTTAATTAGTTTGTAAATTCAGTATCAATTCTCAATATTTGCTCTCAAGAGCTTATTCTCATAAATCGCAGAAGAGAACTAAGCCGAGATAATTAGAAACCAGTTTACATCATTACTTGGTAATATCTGACATTAGATGCATATGCCACATCAAATTTACTACGAATACAACAACCAAAATACAACATGTACAGTTGTACACCTTCTATGCTTAAACAAATATTATGTGTAAGAAATATAAACCTAAATAAGATTTCCTTATTAATCTGTCAAATAACTCATATAGCTAAAACCGACCAACCTTTACTCTAAGTGGTAGCATTAGCTGATTTCATGATTGAGAGGTAATTGTAATTGTGCTAAATTTTCACATACTAAATTCCATTTTATTTTTATTTTTTCTTTGTTGGCATCATCAATTTTTAATTTGAAAATGGTTCTCCAGCACTGCATCACTCATTCAACACTTAACTGATTGGAGAAAACAAGAAGTTTCAAGCTAGCTCTAATTATATCTTTACATAATTGACAAGTTTATTCATCGAGACACAACTAAACCCACAAATATTGAGACTTCTTACTGATAAAAGATCCTACACTAAAAGAGCTGCTTAGTCAAACATTCACATAAAAACAATAGAAGAGACACCCAAGAAGAAATTGAGCGTTCCACCCACTTTGCAGCTTTGGCTCGCTCATCTCTATCTATCTAGATCCACAAGCATCAAAAAAGCTATTTATGGACTAAAAATACTATTCTGGACAACACTTGAGGCTTACAAGAAACATATTATAAAACTTCCCAATTTCTAGAACCAAACCATGTGATGGAAGAATTAAAGAAAAATATTTGTGTGCCATACCTCGTACGAAAATGACTTGTCCTTTTCTGCTCGTTGCTGAAGATAACTACAATGCCAAAATAGCAAAACATTATGCTTATCAGATATTTTAATCATGGTAAGCAAAAAGAATTTTCGACAACCATGATGCATAGCTAAATGGATATCTGAATATTTCTAAATGCAATTTCACATGTATAAGTACTCTCTATCTGTGCCAAGAACCATTTGCAAGAGGCCCAGGAGTCCTCTCTCCCACTTGCTTAAACATAAATCTTATATAAGGCTCTAGTAAAATTTGTAGAGAACCACCATCGAACACTCTCTTAGAAGGGATATACAGCAAAATAAGGGGATCTCTTAAATTTTAGATTATATACAAGAAGATCCATGTGTGCTATACAACTTTATCAAAGGATCCATTAAAGGACTGATCACATTATATTGAGGTAGGCGGTGCCTAATAGAGGGCAGTGAATCAGGCACTTTTAATTACTGAATCTATAAATAGTATAGATAGTTCACATCCCAAATTTACTTGTTTGTGAGTTTAGGTAGTGATAGAGGTACAACCTTGAAGGCCAAAGAAATTTAAAATTCTAAAATAAGCATAACACATGCATGTCTTCCACATGCGTGTCTACATGTAGTTTCTGACTTAATTGGGATTTCCTATATGTAGACCGAGCTGTCAAGCCCGGACTGTACAAAAAGCAAATCCCTAATTGCCAGAAATTTCATCATCTCGAGTATGGGGAGCCTTTGAAATTAAAATTTGGACAAATTAACGTTAATAAAAAAAATCAACATGTGCGTGTAGACGATAAAGTCAGATGTTGCAAGTAACCATAGAGCATAGAAAGTAGACACAATAACAGATCAATCCTTTGACTTACTTCAAGGTTTCATCAAGTGCTCCTGGAAGCCTATGTTCTTCATTGTACGCTGGAATAATCAATGATATGTACTTTTCAGCAGGATCAAGAATTTGAGGACAAGGAACCTGAAACAGAGACATTCCGCACAGTAATTTACCAAATCAACATAGATGTCTGTTGATTAGTTATCCAAATAACAGCCAGCGATATGGACTTCAGATATTAAAGTACACATAAAGTAGAATAAGCCAACGATATTTCATCAACCCGCAATAACCCGCATACGTTATCTCCAATAAACCCAGAACCTCAAAATATTTGAATGAAACCCAGAATTTGAGTATATATTCATTCTTCAATTTCCAAACAGAAATAAAAAAATCAAGGTAATAAAATGCTAAATAATGATGAGAATGCATAAAAATACAAATAATTTTTTTATGCATACCGGTTTCAATGAATTTGGATCCTCGAAAATTGGAGGAGCTTCAACGTGACTGCCAACATAATATTCCAAACATCAAAAATAAGAAGAGTATGGATATGTTTTGAGTAAAAAACCGGATTGTTCCCAATTTTTGGGAGGCGAAGGAGCATACGTGTGATTGTATTTTCTTCTGATTGTTTCAAAAACTATGGCGGCCAATAATCCAAGTGCGAAAATCGAAGCAAAAATAAATAGCGACTGAAACATCATCCACACGAACCCCATTTCTGGATTTGGAGTTCAAACTATGGGCTCCGGAAATGGGGATTAGATCGATGAATTGTTGATAAACTGAAACATAAATTAGCAAAGTTAGAGAATCAACTGTATAGAAAATCTTGAAGCCTTGAAGAAATTTGTTTTCTAGGTTAGATGATAAAGTCGAGGGATTATAAACCGGCACATCAAATGTTCGAATCGAGTTGCAGAAACCTATTTCATCTGGTCAAGGGTTAAATTCACTAGCCACCCAACTTTATTAAGTGCTTGTTTGTTTGACTGGGATTTTGATAAGAGTGTGTTTGATTACATTTATTTTTCATGAAAAATATCAATTTTTCACCCAAATTTCTATTTTGAGTGTTTGATTACTATTTTTTTCATGGAAAACATTTTCCAACTTTTGAAAATATGTCTAATTTTTCTTGTTTTTAAGGAAAATATTTTTCTTGGATAGAGTTGGTTTTTATTTTTCACAAAAGATGGAAAACGTTTTCTTTTCTAGTTGATATTTTTCATGTTAATCAAACACACTAATTGATTTTTTGATCGTTAAAGATAAAGTGGTCCTATTCGTAAGGAAAGAATTCAAAAATGACGATTAGAATAATGAAATAACGGTCAAAAAGTTGATTTTAATTGACTTTTAAGCTATACCAAACAAGTTCTATAATTAGGATTGCTAACATGAAATTTACGGGAAAAAATAAATTTCAAGCAATTAAATTGTCTAGTGATTATTTAAATGGAAATTGTAAATTAAATTAATGTGATTGATTTTATTTTCAATATAAAAAATGTTATACTTGTTCATTTTTTATTGGTGGGAAGATGAAAAATGATAGGGTAGACGAGAGAGAAAGAGAGGGTGAATTATCGGAAACATAAATACCTATTATCCCTCGTGATTAAAAGTTGGAAAAATATTTTCTATGGAAAAAATATTAATCAAACAGTACGAAAGTAGAAATTTAGATTAAAAATGACACTTTTAATGAAAAATATTTACAATCAAATGCACTCTCAGTATCACCATGATACCCTAATTAGATTTTGTTTCATTATAACCATCCAACATTATATTTAGTGTCACAATAACTACCAAATTTCATATAATGTTTCACATTAACAACCCTACTTCATATAACGTTCTACAATGACAACCCAAGTTCGTATAACGTTTCACCATGATCACCCAATCTTATTTCAATATTTTCACTAATTTTAAAAAGGGTAAAACAGTAACTTTACATTATATATAAAATAAATTTTAAAAAACAAAAATAAATAAAAGGGAAAATTGCAGCAGCGATACCAAACTTTTCGTTTATTAGCAGACTTTGCTCAAACATTTAGTTTATGCCACCGTGAGTACCAAACTTTAAAAAACTCGCACCTGAGATCCAAATCGATGGTTTCTGTTAGTTTGACCGTTAGTTGACCCAATAAATTGACTTTGACTAATTTTAAAAGGGATAAAATTATAACTTTGAATTAAACTTAAAAACAAAAAAACAAGAAAAGCAAAAAATCAAAACCATATAACTGTTCTTCTTCTCTTTCCCACCCCCATTGTTTACCATCTCCTTGATACCCGATCCCAAATTAATCAGATACCACAGTCGTCATCGTCGTCGCATCCTGCTGCCTGCCGCTTCTACTACAAAACTCATCTTATCATCAATTTCATCATCTCAAATCACAAACCATTATCAAACCAATCAAGAAACCATTTCATTCCCATCAAGAATTTCCAAGTCAATGTAATATATGGTGGCAGAAACACACCTTACAGCCACACCCACCATTTCAGACCACCACCGGTAGACACGTACACCACAGACGCTCAATATGATGGTGGTGATTCAACAAAATAGGGCCAAAACATCAATGTATTTTCTGGGATTTTCCCATTGTTCAATCCACAAATTCACCTACGATAACTCATATTCATACTTAAACGACTGTGGGTACACAATTAATTGATCTAGTTGCTGCTCAATTGCCTCGTAATTCGATCCTTGAAATAGCAAGTTGACGGTTCCGTCAATTGCAGTTGGCAGCCAAAATATTGTTCTTCCATCCATTGTGATTCACCAGTGGTCGAAGTGGGCCTTTCCTTACTTGTTTTGTGAGAGCTAAAATATTGCGTAGTAGATATCTTCGATTTGGAAGGGATGATGAATACGGGGTGTGTTAATTTAGGGTGGAGGAGTGGAGGTGATGATCAATACTTTTTATTTTTTGGGGTGGGGATGGGGGTGGACTGACTTTTTTCTTTTTATTAATCTATGTTTTATTTTATTTTTATTTCAAAGTTACCATTCTACCCCCTTAAAAATTGGTCAAAATCAATTTCTTGAGTCAACTAACAATGAAATTAATAGAAATCATTCATTTGGACTTCAGGTGCTAGTTTTTCAAAGGTTTGGTACTCACGGTAGTACAAACTAAAGGTTTGGGTAAAGTCTGCTAATAAAAGAAAGGCTTGGTACCCCTGCTACAATTTTCCCTAAATAAAAACTTATTTTTTTAAAATGTAATAAAATAAAAGCTTATTTTGAAAAAAAAAATTACTTAAAATAAAAAATAAAATAAAAACTTATTTTAATAAAAACATTTTAAAAATAAAACAGAAACTTTTTTTTTAAATGTTACTTAAAAAAAATAAAATAAATACTTATTTAAAAAAAGTTTACTAAGAAAAAATAAAATAAAATAAAAACTTTTTGTAAATAAAAATTTTTAATTTATGTTCTTTTTTTAAATTTATTATATATATATAATGCAATGTTACTATTTTACCCATTTTAAACTTAGTGAAAAGAAATGAGCTGATCATAGTGAAATGTTATATGAAATTGGGTGGCCATGGAGAAATAAAATTAAATTTGGTGGCTATAATGATACTAAATATCAAGTTAGATGACCATGATAAAACAAAATTAGATTGGATGACTATAGTGATATTAAGTATAAAGTTGGTGATCATTGACGAATTTAACCCTATTAATATTTATAGAACCATTTATAATTTGTGAAATCACCTTTTCATGATTGTAAACCTCCAATATATACTAGCATTTATTTCCATATTTTAGCCCATATTTGATAGTGATTATAATCTTAATTTTAGTCTAAGCAAAAGTTAATAATTAATTTTAATCATATATTTCATAGTTTTCACAACTTTTCAATCATAAATTTGATCGAAGTTCATCAAAATCTAATAAAAATTTGATATACTTAACAATTTGACTTTCCAAATAAAATTAAAGGTATAGTTTTTCCACAATAACCGATACACAAAAACAATTTATGTGTTGACCTCAATTTTCTTAAGGATGACATGGCCAATAGATCCCGACTCCTTCTCACATTCATGTACTTCTTTTGATATACTTGGACAAATCATTAGAGCACATGTCCAATCTCCAACAATAGAGAGAAGATCGCAAGCACTTCAATTGTGAAGTTAGTTTGTAAAAGTATATTTGAGTGTGGGATGTGCTTAAGACGTGGACCACTTATGTAGAAAGGGGTTCAGATCCAATAGTTATAAAGAGTGATGAGATAGCAAAGTATAGCTTGAGAATATAAAATTGAATTTCCTTTGAATGGCAAAATATGTGAACTTTTACCCAATTCTTAGTCCACTTATTTATAGATTGTAAATTTTATGATATTCTAGTGA